TCTCTTTTTGATTAATAAGGTAATTTGTTTTGGATCTTTTTGCTTTTATCTACAACTGATCCTCATAAAAGACTAAAAATTCATAAAGTTGATGTGTAATGTACTAAAGTGATAGTTTTAACGAAAAATAAAAATGTTGTTACCGGAAAATGTATACAGATCTAGGATAATCTTAAAAGTAATTGATTGTGGCAATGGATCAATCTTTATTGAAGAAATAGAAATCCTAAGTTTTAGTAAGGCAAAAATGTTACACCATGGAGACAAGTCCGTAGCAATAAGTTTTCTACATGGTCCATTGGCGAAAGGCATTTAGTAACCATTAGAACTGGTTTTACAATAATTCATATTTTACGTAATTCTTGTTACTTGAATTTATTGTAGTGATTATTACACTGTACGTAAATAAATCGTACATTATACTTGGCCATTAATATACAGTACGACAAAAATATTGGCAAAACAAGGCACTTGCATGCTTTATGGAAGCATCAAAAAAGCGTCCGATTGCTGCTAATTTCGAGATTTTGACGGGATACCCGTCACTTTGCAGATTACTCGAAAATAGTCTAGTAAATGAATTATTACGTGCTAAAGTATTGTATTCTTTGTGGTTGTACAAATTAATATAACTAAACGGTTTACCTAAAGAAGAATTATATGACGGTAAAGTTGAACCACGAAAGGAATGAGCAGATCCAAGATCTGTACAACATTATCAAGATGGAACGAACTAGGGGTAGTCTGTTAAAGTCATAGGTTCAAACTCATAGTGAATTGATAGTATTTAGTGAACATTAATGTCAATAAAAAATGATGAAGCAATAACCGACTACAGATCAACTCTATCTAATATCTATCACTCTTTTTGTATAAATTAATTAAAAAAATTGACCATATTCGCATTCATATACCAAAACAAGAAGTTATCTTTACGTTTGACAGGCAGATATACAGGTAAGTTCATTGCTTAAAATGTGAATTGAAGTAAATTCTTTCCTACACTAGATTCTATCACCGATTTGCCTAAGATACCTAAGTTACTCTTCATAGACGTCTAGATAGGTTAGGCATGTGTGAAGTATAATATCATTTTACAATACGTATATATCATCTTTAATTTATAAGTTAGAAAGCAACGCCTAATGTTCTTTTTTTAAGCAACAGGCGTTGGAGGTTGAATGCCATCAGTAACGACTTGTACTACATAGCCATTACTTAATTTGGAATCTTCAATCTTCATTTTGTCTTCCAGTTTGCGTCCATAAAAATACCATCGCTGTTGATGCGGTTCTACGCCTATGATATCACACAGGTGACGTTTAGCTTGTAATATCGTTTGCGAGTTGTGGACTCTTAACTTTTCCTCTTTACTAGAGGATAATCTCAATTTAATTGAAAATTTAAATTTATCATCAATATCGTCGATATTTTGATCTTGCTTCTCCGGAATGAGATGATTGGAGTCTTCCTCGTCACTACCGTTATTGCTGATCAGGTTAGTTGGCTCGCTAAGACAGTACTCCGGTAAAACATAATGATTGCCCAATTCATCGTAAGCACTGGCTAAGGAGCCTAATAAATTTAAAGGATAAAATGTGAAATCCTGCAATCAGTATGATAGACGCGTACCAAGTGATCGAGGAGTATATCCCAGACTATAACGTATCATAAATATATCGTGACTTTATTATGTCGACTACTCTACAGCTACATAAGATTGAAAATAAATGGACGAATAACTACAATCGAGTAGGAAAAAGTTGAACAAAATAGCCACTGATTATATAGCAAAGCTGATCAATACAGTACCTTGGTTTACAATATTGCACACTACTACTAACGCAAAAAGGTGACAGAAAATATCGCATCTTTCTAATAAAGTCGCTACTCATTTTTCAATACGTCGACTGATACAGTATGGGAAAGTCAAAACAGTTATTTGGCATGAACTGGCAACAAATTCAATTCCATTTTCAGCTATGGTGCCATTCTAAAATAGTTTGCTTATGGAAGATCGATAGTATGAAGTAACGGATAGTCTTACCTGTAGGAAGGATAACATTGGCACTATCAATGATCGCCTGGGCTAATTGTAAATCGTCTGTTTGAGTAGCGGCTTGTAGCGCATTCCAAATCTCTCGGCGTCCTTCATATACCGGCGCTGTTTCCCAAAATTCTTGCCGTTTTTGCTTCAATTGTTTATCGGTCATTGGAGTTGGAGCTGTCCATTTCATTTTCATTGGTTGCAATGGGCGATTATGGCCGAAAGGAACTATTCAAGATCCAATAAATTAAAAAGATGCAATAACTAATAATTCATCAATGATAGTTTCATTCGATGATGAAATGAAAGCCGTTAATTATGATTACTTTTATCGGGGAACTATTTTACTTTTAGTAGTCCTTGCACCTTCTATTATTACAGTGGAAGTGAAAAAATTGCAGGATTGATTATATCTAATTATTACCCACCACAACGTTGCAAATATCAATAGTAACTAGTGTATTTTTTTTCTATTGAATAATTGATATTTAGTTAGTCAAGTTAATTCCAAGGCCAATATACTTAAGAAGACTGTACACATCTCTCATTTTTGACTGTAAATGATAGTCAAAGGCCTTCCATGTTGTCGAAAATACCGTCTATAGACGATCTTTTTAGGAAGAAATTGAATTACTGTACGCTACAGTAGTCCCGTATTCGTCGGGAATCTGCTGAAATGGAGCTTTTTTGGAAGTCACAATCATAAAAAAATGTTGACATCAAATCAATTTCTTTCTATTGGGTGTTTCCATACTACAGTCATTGAACTCCAGCGTTTTATTAATCATCCATTACTTGATTATGCGATATACTGTACTGTCAACGTGTGGATCCAAATTAGTTATCCTCCTTGAACAGAACGCTTATGATGACATCAACAAATAAAACAGATTTCAATTTGTTTACTACAGAATGTGCTATGCTATAGTACTATAGTATTGCAAGAGTTAGGATATTTCCATGGAGCAGAATAGAGAAATAGCCTTTATATCTTGGATTCTTCATCCTTTAACATACAGTCTATTCTGCATGAATAGAAAGGCAAATGCTTCTAATCATTCGACAGTGACTGGAAGTAAGAGTTACTATATTACAAGAGCGCCCTTGATAGGAGTGACTATAAAAGACGAAGCGGTATATCAATCAATCTATAAATACAGTAGATAAAATGGATTAGTTATTTCATAAATCTAGAACATGATGTTATTCTTTTATTGTACAGTAGGCTAGAAAGACATGGTTTAAATTGGTTCTACTCCTATAGAACGTATTTATCCCAAAAAGCAAAAGTTGTTTTTAGATTTACACTCCACTATTGTCATGGATATCCATCCTCAATTATTTAGAACCGGCACGCGTTGAAGGAAAATGGACTATTTCTATACCGTGATAATGTGGAAAGGAATCATTTCTTCATTTAAATCTTCAATAGTATTTACTGTCTCTAGGCTAAATGGTCTGGGAGTTACATCGTCAGTTATTTAGAACCGGCACGCGTTGAAGGAAAATGGACTATTTCTATACCGTGATAATGTGGAAAGGAATCATTTCTTCAATAGTATTTACTGTCTCTAGGCTAAATGGTCAAGGAGTTAGGGTATCATGATAAACCTATGATAATACTGTTGAAGACGGATAGAGATGGAGACTGTACATTGTTGAAAGCTTTCAATTTGTGGCAGTTTTCCTTTTATGACTCTGTAGTCAATCAGAAAAATATGCGTATGGACGCAATACCTTTCACCTTGTCTACTCTACCTTATGCTTTGGATTGTACTGTTGAACATGGATTTCTAACTAGTATTGATGATGACGATATTGTGCCATAAGTGTCTTTGTCATTTGTTGACCAAAAATGAATAAGAAGAAAAAGAAGAAGAAACATCCTGTATAATAAGACGGTCAGTAGCTACTCTACCTTTGACAATAATAATTAGCAAGGTATAAAAGTGCGATGTAATCGATTGATTGATTGATATAGCAGTCCATTAATCCTTCTTGAGCACATTGTTGCTACCGCAAGTTCAGAACGACTGCAACTATCGATTTATATCCAGTATACTACTACTGTGTAGGAGATTGTTCTTTTTATAAACGGCACTGGCGATATGGAAAGAGATCCCCTTTCTCGTATTATGTTAAGATTACTTCTTGTTGGGCATTTTGCCCAGTCGTTATCGAATGATTTGGACCGTCATGACCTATTTTGTAAGGAATTAAAGCACCCCAACTCGGCCCCCGTTCCCAATAACCCCCGATTACTTCCATACTCAGCATGAATAGCTTAAACGATGATTGATTATAAAATTATTGTGGGAATTTGTAGAGTCATTGTATGCATTAGCTTTTCATTGCAATACAAGATGGCGCATACAAAATCGACTTTAGTTACGTATTGCTTCTGGCAGGAATGTCAATTTGCTTAATCGGGAATGCTTCTTCTACGGTAGCGATGTTGATTTAGAGTCTGCTCTCGAAAAACGGTATCCCTATCGTGGCTGATCATGAATAGACTATGACAAGTATTTTATTATTATCGTCAGCCGATCTGTGGACGTATATCATCGTCATCCAGTAGATCGGAAAAGGATTTAGTGCAAGCCTGATCGATTGCCAACCAGCACGAATAGCAAATTTGGCCATCATGCTATGGTTGAGCCAAGACGATCGCAATGCATCTACCGACAGACTTGTAGAACTGTATCAAAGTCATCATCATCCTCCATGACTAGTACAACTGTTGTTTATTGACTTGTGGCCTCTCGATAGAAAGTATATCATCTCATCTTACCTGTATTGCGTTGAATATCATTCTCCATGCTCTCCGTTTCGCTGGCTCGGCCAGCACGTTGACTTAAACAGGCACCCATAATGACTGCAATTGTCGACGGGACTGTCCAATGTCTTGAAATCTTCAATCCACCTTCTTCTTTTGCCACAACAACAACACGATACTCAAGGGTCTCTTTTCTTCAATATACTCCCACTAGTATAACAGTCGTCCCCAACAGCAGATTCTTCTTGTCAAGTTGATACCAATGTAAGCTATCTAATGTCAGCAAGATTAATGAATCACCAACTTCGATAGATATTCAATTTCTCCAGCAGCCAGCCATCAAATCGCGATCAACAAGCACCAAGTCAAGTCTCCAAATGAAATGGGCACCGATTGCTGTCTGTCCTGTCCGTCGTCGTGTCTGTCCGGTCAACGTCCACAAGTTGGACTTGTTGTTCAGTCAGCCGCGTCTCCCATGTCACTCAGGCCATCTGCTTGATAGTCATCCTATTGGTACGCTGTCATACATGCGACATGGTATAGCAAGTGTGCTACGGTACGGTACAGGATGACGTCATCGTGGAGGAAAAGATTTCCTTGCCGTCTACACAACAGACTTGGATACACTTGCCACTTGTTGTCGACGTATACAGTGTACAGTATTGAACAGCTGGACGGTTTCGTCGATAGTACTATAACTGGACAGCAATGGCGGTCTTGTAAGATGTCCATTCTCAACTACTTCTTTGAGCTAGAATATAAAACAGAGAAGATTGCTTCCTTGTCAAGACTTTGATAGGCCATATCGATTATCAGTCGAAGATTAAAAGAAGGATAGAATAGATCGATAATATTCTACCCAATATACTCTTGCAAACGCCGTATACGATGCCTATTTTGCAGACAATTTTTCCTCCACTGAACTCTATTTATCCATTATTTATGATGCGCATTTTGCATTGGGAAATACTGCAAGTTATCATCACATCTAATTGCATTACAGGGTAGAGAAGTTTGCTTCCTTGTCAAGACTTTTATAGGACATACAGATTATCAGTCGAAGATTAAAAGGAGGATAGAATAGATCGATAGCATATAATATTCTACACTATACGATGCCTATTTTGCAGACAATTTTTCCTCCACTGTACTCTATTTATCCATTATTTATGATACGCGTTTTGCATTGGGAGATACTGCAAGTTATCATCTCATCTGCTTGCATTACAGGGTAGAGAAGTTTGCTTCCTTGTCAAGACTTTTATAGGACATACAAATTATTAGTTGAAGATTAAAACAAGGATAGATAGAATAGATCGATACCACATAATATTCTACACCATATACCCGTGCGCACACTGTATACGATTTTGCAGACTATTTTTCCTCCACTGTACTCTATTTATCCATTATTTATGATACGCGTTTTGCATTGGGAGATACTGCAAGTTATCATCACATCGGATTGCATTACAGCGTAGAGGGACCTTGAAAAGAAATACAAAAGACGTTTTCTTGCCATGGCTTAGAAGTGGGGGAAAAGAATAGGTGCGGTTAGGAGAGGGGGAATGTGGGTTAAGCAGCCTTCGAAACACAAATGGACTACTAGAAAAATAATCTAGATTTCCTTCTAGTAGCCCTTGTACAACTGCTACTGCGTAGTCAATGACTAGTCACCATAGGTAAGGAGAAATTATTTCGCGAAATGGTCACGATGGTTACAACATCTACTTGTAGGATAATTCTAAAATTGATATGACATTATAGTGCGACAAAATCCCACGCTTGAATACTTGGCGAATTTCACGCCATGTTGATTTCATTTTAAAGCGTTAGTAGGCAATTTACAATATCCAATCGAGTTCCAATATTGCTATATTGGCCAACATTCAAAATAAAACTACAACAGTCCATTTTCCAGCGGATACAGCTTGAAAATAATACTGTATATCCATCTTTACTTCCCATGATCATCGACTGAATGTGAACATACAGTCTTTCGCTACTTGAGCAAGATGACATATCGATTAATATAGAATATACAGGGGGATAGGTTATATATAATTAAACAGAACTAGCCAATAATGCAAATCGTATAACATATCATCGTTGCATTACTACCTTCAGCACCCACAGTAGTTGTACTAGTAATATGGACATATCGTGATCAATCTCTCAGACAGTGGTGAGCTAAAAGTAAAAAAATCAATAAACTTCAATGCGTACACTTGAGGCCGAGAAGCAACTTCCGGCAGCTTTGTTGGCAGTATGATATCGTAATGCCGTATACTTATATAATAATGATACATAATCCAAAGCTATTTTAAAATCATCTAAAATTACCTGCAATTATATTAATTGACTCGATATTCTGATTTACTCACCTACAACTTAAATCAGGGACTTTTCGATAAGATCATTTCTTGTTGAGAAGTCCGTACTTAACTCAATCGCTACATTCAGATCATATTTATGCCAGCAGCATTTCTTGTATCATAAATGACATCTGAATCAGCAGACGCAGGCATACTGTACAAATAAGTACGCATCATGGCTACGAGAGACCGTCATAAGAAATGGAGATATTAATTTAATTGACTGCAAGCATGGAGTACGGCGTAGAGGCCATAGACTACTAAAATGGATACTGTACATATCTCTCGTAATCCATGGTCACTGTCAGCGAAATAAGCAGCAGTCCACCTAGTAAACAACTGTCTACCGAGATGGTAATGGCAATTTTGCCATGGTGGACATCAGCAAAGTATGAATGAGTAAGTTCGAGTGAATGCCATCTCTCACGTTTATCCTGTCCATCTTTTAAGCTTTAACTACAACACTTTGCAATCACGATACCTTACTAATATATTTTACAGATAATGTTCTAGATTCGCCGTCTTGGTCATTAAACTATCTACTATCGCGTAAAAGGACACGACATTTTCAGACATCATAATGACTTTAAGCGATATTAGCAATAAGTTACGATTACGAGTGGGTAATCACAGGAAAACCGTGCACGGTAAATGTACAATATTGATATTTTAGATCACAAGCAGTACTTCAATATTCTAATTAGCTTCGGTTTGCAAGGTGCGAAATTTATTCCAATTTACCTATGATTAGTTTATGTTCCTAAAAACGTAAGTAGATCTGCTATACAGTCTAAGGCATACATTTAACGATACATACAACATATACATGAATATGCACAATGTAAGTATGAAGAAACAGCGAGAGTGAGATTAAAAAGTTACAGAGATTCAAAGAGTGTATTTAAGAAATCTATGACTATGTAAGCCGTTTAAAACTTACTATACATTGGAATTCCACACAAAATCTACATGACAGGGTCATTAATTCAAGTTCATAAATCCCATTTTATGCGGTATTCTATGATTATAGTAGAACCACTTTAGCCGCTAAAACTAGTTAACATTCCAATTAGATAAATTGCTAAACCAATAATATCCTCAATGGCATTATTGAGTTATGCATCGCTTTAAATCTTAAATTGTTAGTGATTTAAACTTCTAATACCATGAAATCTTTATTGTAATAAGAATTGCGCTGATAATTTAAATTAACTTGCAGCTTACTTGTGTATGCGTACTGTATAGTATTACTATACAGCTAATTCTTTATTCGTAAATAAACATTCATTAGTAGTTCTAAATGACATTAAACTCGACAAAAATTTACTATTTGGGCACTATCTTGATAGGTTTAACTCCAGCGGAGACCAATCTGAAGTTTGGGTTAACTAGGGAGTATAGCAGACTATTACATGCCTTACGCATTTTCGGATACATTATGTAATATATAAAAGGATTAACGGCACTATTAGCACAGACTAAAAAACCTGCTACCCATTGGACATCTAGCGAAACATTATATCTAGCTGGTAATAGTAAATAAACAATAATGGCATAAGGCACAAAGCTGATTATGAAAGCTAAGTATACGAAAAACATTCTCCAAGTGGTTTCAATTTCGCGGCGCAACGATTGAGCACGAAAGTGTCTAGAACTAGTGTGCGGTAATCTGAGTTGTCTTGCTATTCTGTGATTGTTACTAAATATTCGTAGCAGAATTGCAAGGTAACAAAAGGTTATAACAATAAAAGGCACCAAAACAAATACTATTGCGAGGTAAGTTAAATAACCCGGTATTTTATCAGGCACAGGCAAGCACAGAAAATCGTGTGGAATATAGATGTATCGACCAAAGCCAATTAGAGGTAATGTGCAATCCATTAGCGATAATATCCAAACGATATTAATAGCTGCGATGACATGCTTTTTACGTATGCGAATATGTTTACCATGAAATACAGTGATATAGCGAAAAACGGCAATAAATGTTAACGTTATCATAGTTACATCATAACAAATTATATTAATAAATCCACTGATTTCGCAGACAGTTTGATCAAATATCCAATGCTGATAATGGAGGGTGATAATAAGGAAAACATCTTTAGCACAACCAGTAATGACATCGATTATGGCTAAGTTTACTATAAATAAATTGCTTTTTGTCCGTAATTTACGATCTCGAGCTATTACAATCAAGATAATCAAATTGCATATAATACTCAGCAGAGTAATAATATAATATAATATTAATCGAACGGTAACTTGATCGGGTTTTAGCACAAACGTCGAGTTACTAAAGGCTAGTAAATCATGAGTTTCACTTTGATTCATGATTACTTTTTTTTATCAGACCGATCGAAATTAGTAAAGATATTACCTAAATTATAATAGTCAGTAGCCAAAATATTCTACATACGTGTACGTATAAGCTGCTGCATTGATGGCAATAACTTATAAATTAAGGAAGATAATCAATCCTCTGGAAATTTATAGTAGAGAAAGTATAATACTAGATACGTATAAAGTAAACTATAAAAGGTATCCTCGCAGAAGGATCATTAAACCTCAACTGAAAGGTCAAAGTGTGTTATTGGGGAATCATCTCATGTGTTTACTGTATATACCTTACGCTTCCTTTAGCAATATGAAATCTAAAAATCAAAAATCGATTGAAATATTTGGTATTAAACATTTAATGGTTGTTAGACCAATCTAACATTTGTAAGAATAAATTATTTATTACACAGGAACTGTATAATTTCTATTGTAAGATATGTAGTGAGTACTGAGGATAATATTGGAATCGATAATTTCAAATTCTTATCACAAAATATAATAAGATATAATAATTTATGAAGATATTCCTACTTAATCAATAGTCCTGTACAGATTATTGGTCTCATAGTTATTATTAGGATATTTTAATCAATCATACTATTTTATCAGCGCACTATTATAATGTTAATGGTAAAGCGAATATGAAATAATCAGTCTACATTTACAATGTATTAGCCATACTATGGATTCATCTAATTACACTTAGTATCAAACATACAAGATACTATTTTAATCTTTTAATTTGAGTTTTAGTCACCGCTTTCACTTATTTTGTAGATTCTTTGACGACAATTAATCATATTATTAAATTAATTAATTAAATGGACGTCTATCATCGGAAAGATGATCGTTAAAATAGATGAATAAATGAATACAATAACTTGCTAAAAATTTAACACCTGGTTTGTACAAATAACTCTTTCAAGTATCATAATACTAAATTTAAAATTAATATGTTTCGCAAATTTAATAGTCAGCTCAACATAAATCAAGTCTTTTTAGTCCATTTAAAATTTAAGCAATTATTCTGCAATCCCATAAACCATCAACATATTTTTAAGATTATTTTTATAAACAATAATACCGTATAAAAAACTTTGCAACCTAAAAAATTTGATATTTTACACCGAAGGTGAGATTTTGAAATGATTCGTATACTAATTAATCCAAAGTGCTAATGAATTTCAGCTCTTAGATCACAGACTTAAAGATTATTTCACTTCTTTCGGCAAATACGTAACGAAGAGATATTGTCAGTTTATATTAATATCAAAATTTTGATTAGATAATTATACATACTTCACACAGTACGTATCAACAATCATTGCACAATAGAGGAAAACAATATATTAAATTACCACATCTGCTACTTCAAAAATACGGTAGACTTCGATTATAGGAATTTACAAGTAAAAAGTATTTTTTTTAATTTAATACTTCCTTGTTAATTATTTCATATAAAATATATCATTGATCATTATACGACAGAGAAAAACAATTTTTCTAATTTTACCGCAACTTCTACTTTAAGAATACGGTAGACATCGATTATAGGAATTTAAAAAATAATACTTTAATTAAAATCTAATATTTTCTCGTTAAATGAGCATTCACATTAATATGGTAATAATTCGACCTAGAGATATCAACCGCCGAGAAAATAGCAACTCTACAAAACTCTACTGCCAGCTTCCTCAAATTTATAAACTGCCCGATATATCAGCATAACTGATATATACATTTTAAACCAGTCAAAGTCTGATGAACCGTACAAATTGAAGCTTCTAGACTATTGATCACACTCCTAATAACTACCTACCTATTACATATATATATGGCAGTTTATAAACTGCAATGGGTCTGACAGTTAAGTTAGCGGTAAAGTTAGCAGTTAGTTAATTTATGGACTGCCTCATCACTTGCAGTCGACATCTTTAATTGGACCTGGATGAAAGACGTTAGATACCAAAATTTTCGGATGATTTAGGAACATTAAAGCATAATTACTTATTTTGATTAGTCTTTGCGTAAAGTACAGTCGTGTAATGGTCATTGATGATTATGTAGTAAAGCAGATATGCATCCATTACGAGCAGACCGTATATGTGCTATGAAGTATTTGCATAACATGCTTGTTTAGAAGAGAGAGAACAAGATAGTAATAAAAAGTCTACACGAAGATATTAACCAAATGTATTTAGATAGTCAGCTATTTAAAGTGTATTTTACATTTTCTTTGCACTTTTAAACTATTCAATAAGAATATGCTATAGCGCCATTAATGAAGCCTTTCCTCCTTATTCTATATGGCGTTTTGTATTAAATTTAATGACATAAAAATTTCCAAATTGTTATAATTAATGATTTGATAGGAAGAACATCCAGTACGCCGCGTTCAAAGACGATGATAACGCAATTATAGCACCAGGTTAAATATTACTTGTAATTTTAGATTATTAATAATTCATAATAACTAAATAACGGAATTAATATTGCAGTAGGTACTGTCTGAATGGCATTAACAATATAGGCATACTGGCTTTGCCATTGTCTGTGATTGGAGCTTCTTTGGAAGATGGGTATTATCCTTGTATGTTCAATGGCAGTAGTTATCGCTTCAAGTCTGGTTTAGTTAGAGGACAAATTAGATTATAATATATCCCATATATTTTCGGATAAGTTGCTTAACATATGAAAGTATTGATGGCACCATTTATGTAGATTAAACAGCCCAATATGAAGTAAATATCGAAAGAAATGCCATATCAAGCTGATGATAGCGAAAGAGAAGCAATGCTACAAGATATGAAATAAATTACGATAGCCAAGTAAGTAATAGACATTTTTTCAAGTTGCTTCAATTTCACCCCATAAAGCCTGTTTATGAAAGTATCTATGATTGCTTTTCGCCATTTTAAATTTTTTCGTTCTGCAACTACAATTATGTATTCAAACCAAGACTGTAACATAATTAAATGTTATATCAATACGAAGTGTCATAACAACATGTATCTAGCAAAATTAGCCAGTGGAAGTTTAAAGTCAATTGGGGAGATATCTAAACGATAATGATGGCTCCAATAACATGTATTTTTTGTATGTGGATACATTTACCATGAAATATAATATTAAACTACAATAAGTGTTGACGCAATTACAGCCATGCAACAATAAAATACACAAATAAATCCACTAATTTCGTCTACAGTTTGATCGAATATCCAATACTGGTATTGGAAGGTGATAATAAAAAAGATCTTTAGCACAACCAGTAGTAACATCGATTATGGCTAGGTTTACCAAAAATAAATTGCTTTTTGTCTGTAATTGGTCTCGAACTATTACAATTAAGATGATTAAATTGCCCATAATACTCAGCAGGGTAATAATATAGTCCTATATAACCTAACTGTAACTAAATTAGACTTTTAGCAAGAATGTCGAGATACTAATGGCAACTAAACTATGAGCATCGTTTTAATTTATAACTATTTATGTATAAGAAAGATCAAAATTAGTAAAAATATTGTTCAAAATATAATAATCATTAGCCGCAAGGCTCTAACTACCTGTGTTAGTGAGTATACAGCCACATCAATGACACTAACTTATAAACTATTGAGGAAGATAGCCAAATCATTATAATTTTATGATAGAAAGTATGATAATAGGTAACGATAAAGCGATTAATAATTATATAGATGAATCATTGCATTCTCAGTTGATAAGCCAAATATATTATTTAAGCAATCAGTTGATGTATTTATACTCGTGTACCTTATACTGACTTATTATAGCAATATAAAAACAATGAAAGAAAATTTAAAATATAATGAAATAATCAGATCAAACATTTAATAGTTTGTTAAATCAATCTAACATCGTTTCGCTCACCCCTATAATGTACGAATTAACATGAGTTGTTATCCAAGTTTAAGCCTTCGATAAGGAAACAATATTTTAAGCAAGCTATTTCTTTATAAAATTATATTAACAGCTGTCGCGTTATTACTTATCGTTTAAATATTATAGATCACGTTTCCGATCTTAAATTTCTGATTAGTCCCAATACAATTATGTAAGCGTGAAATAACTATCGCATTCCAAAAATTAAAATGTTTTCCATGACATTAGTTTAAGTTTTGACATGAATCGTGATCTCTTGTTTCATATGTTGGCTTCATTAAAACGTTTTAGATAGACCATAATTTCAATTTAAGCTTGAAAGATGCGATTATGATAGCTATGTCCTTAGTAGCTTTATTCTAATAACAGAATAATTAACTACAGATTTGAATAAAGATGAATAAACTATGACCATGCTGACATAACTTTAGTACGGGTAGTTCTTATTGAAGTTACTTCGCTTTCCAATCGTCGATGACCACAGATCAGTTTTTTATAGCCTCTTCGTATTTTAGGATAAATCATATAGTAAATAAGTGGATTAATTGCACTATTCATATTAACTAGAAAGCCTATCCAAAAGATAGATTTTAATGAAATCAAAATTCCAGCTGGTACCAGAATAAGCATAATAATAGCCCATGGCAAAAGACATACAATAAATGCCATATAAACTACAAACATTCTCCTAGTAGCTCGAAGCTCACGCTGACGTAGTTGGCAGCGGAGACCTTGTCGTTGTCTACCGTTGTGATTAATATATCGCCTTAACGTACCATCATGTATAAAAATATTGATTAAAATAGCGATATAGCAATAAGTAATGATAGATAAAGGTATCAAAGTCACCGCAAGAAGTAGAAAGAGAGCATAGGATGGAGGTGTTGGATCGAATTCAGGCAAACATCCGAATTCGAGCAAACTGTATGCATATTTACTCCAGCCGATGATTGGGAGTAAAGCATCTAAAATTGCAAAGATCCAAATTAAGACTATAGCAATCCATACGTGTTTTTTTTTTAAATTAACGCGACGTCCATGGACAACTATCAAATAGCGAAAGATTGCAATGACCATAAGTGTTATTACGGTTACAGAGTGAAAGACACCAATAAAAAATCCAGAAATTTGGCATAAGGTATCGCTATATATCCATCGTCTCGGTTGCATACCAATCATTATGAAAACATCTTTAACAGCGCCTGTCATTATATCTGAGACGGCTAAATTTGCAAGAAATAAGTTGGATTTAGTCTGCAATGCTGGCGTTCTACAAATAATGATCAACACCGGGATATTACCAAGAACGGCAAAGAACGCAATGACACCATAGAATGCAACATGGAGATTAGCTTCTTGCTGTGATATTGTAGGTATTGAAAAATTGTTTCTAGGAATCAGTGTAGTCGTAATGATAGTGGGTAAATGATGCATTATTATCCTCACGACAGCTATAACGGGCAAATACTTTAATGAAGGTATTATGATTTGTAAGTTGATACGACCGAATGCTCACCGATTAATGCATGAAACAATGATTTACTTGTATATCGTCGGAATATCCTTCAACGGGTAAAAATGATAGAATTACTAAAATGTTCTATAGCGACCTTCAACGGTATTTCGAAAGATAAACTTTTTCTTTTATAATTGAGCTCCAAGAGAGTAGCATTAGTCATGCAATAAGAATTGTGAACAACATCCTGCCACAACTGAATAAATAATTTAATCATTTATTTGATTGGCTGCGGCTGTCATCGTACTCTACAAAAAGGACAGTAATATAGAAATCCTGCTGACGTACTATTTATTCAACGGTATAATAAATCATTTCATTCCAGTTAATTATTAAAGGATTTCGAAAGGTCAAATTTTAAATTATTATTGTTGTAAAACACATATTTAAGAAAGATTTACGCTAGCCAATGTTTTAACCAAAAATAACTCTAAAATGAAAGTAGTATCGAAAGACCGGTTGAGGAAACAATAAACAGTTCTGATTTGTTCAGCCAGGAGCATATTACTTACATAATTAGAATTGATCTAAGCTAACTGAAAAATTTTTAATTAGAAACATGGAAGAAATAAGTAATTAGTAATGATTAACGTTTACAGGAATCTTAATCTAGCGTTAAGTAATAATTCAAAAGTTTAAATTGTTCGATTTTTATAGCAATAGAGTAGAAATAACCGAAAATGGATAATCATGTTTCGGATGTGAAATATAGAAGCGAAATAAATCAATAAAAGGCATTTGACACGAGCAAGAAAATTGAAACGGAGTCTTCATCTGCAAGTTTATTCATTAATATTAAATTACGGGTATAGCCTCTTAATATTTATTTTATATCCCACAATCCCTATAGCATGGACGATATAAAGCAGCCAATTTTTTCTATTAGTCGATGACAAGTAATGTGTCAATTCACACGAACCATATTACAGCATAAAATGGCTTAAGACAACTCATACTTTGTTACGAAGAAATACTGCTGGATCCTTATCTTAAACTAATATAATCCTGAAATGTTAACCATAACACAGTATTAAATAGTGTGAGAACCGATTTGTTCCTAAAAATAAATGATTGCAATTAGCATAAACTATTCCTCAAGTTGATAAACTTGAATTGTATGGCGATATTGTGGCTGTTAAGATACATTAATCAATCGAAATGTATAACTTTGTGACAATTAGCATCCATAGCCTTACTTTCGTTTTGATTGAAATAAGGCTTGAACTATTTTGTGGGACTGAAACTGGCTTTAGTATAGGTCAAGCTAATCACCATTATTTACTCTTGGTATAAAAGCTAATAGTCTTCCAACATGCAGATTGTTCTCAAAAGCATCTAGATAACGTGCATTACATTAAAAGATTGATTATTACCGAAAATCTCCAGGCTACATCATTCTAGTTTAGCCATTAGCTTACAAATTAATTCTAAATCAGGATTTCTAGTTGAACTATTTCTATTTTTTCGTTAATACCGAGCTATGCTTTTTTTACTGGTATTTCTTAGGATAGTAAATCCCACTTTAAGTAGCATTTAAGAGATTTTCATTTTAAGTTCTGTAAAATAAATTTTACTCCAAGAATTTTTAAGATATTTTCCGTTCAATTTCAGATAGTTCTCATCATTATTCTTCTTAAATTAATAATTAAACGTAAATCTAACTGTTTCAGAGATGATTATCATTTGCATTATTTTGGAAATTCAATTGACTAGCAATAAGCACGGTCGATATGTAAGAGTTGCAATTGACAAATAAATGCCCATCATCCATTTGAATTATTTATAAAATCACTTGTCCTTAATAGGTTAAATTACAGATACATCGTACAGAAAGTATTGGTAATTTGAGGTACTAAGAACCTAAGCACTAAAAATTGAATAAATTGACTAAAATTTTTGTTTCCTTGAGCCACGATGCTATTAATTAAGAGGTTTCGACTAAAATTAAAATAGTTTTTCATGGCAATAGATAATCTACGAATGTATGAAGCAACATTACATAACGTCAATTTTATATGACAAGAAGCGTCTGAAATTAGGCGGATATGCTAATAATTCTTATTCGGCGAACCAAATTGTATAATTTTATATTACAGTTCGAGTTAAACTATCAATATCTTTCAGTTATTCGTACTTAAGTACTGGCACAATCTTCATCGATCGTTTGATACTTTTACGAATAAAAACACAAAGTCTAGACTGTGTCAAAAAAATAATTCATAAATTTTGTACTTAGAGCAAATTTGATTGCTTAAAATAAGTATTATTACGTTTTCGTAACAACATTATAGAAATTGAAACTTGAAGGTGAAAAATATCACCAATAATCAATCATTAAGCCAAACAGATATTGGCGTTCAAAGCTTATAAGAGGCTTGTCAGTCCGAAAAAATGGCATTATCAGTGTATTCTTGCTTACTAAGGCCAGCCTGGACGTCCTAGCACACCTCCCTATTCGGCCTAGCTACTTACATTGATCCAGAGTTACTATCAGTGTATTAGATATAAAATATGACGTAAATTAGTTCTTTGCGCAAAAAGCACATAAAATAGCTTTTCCTTCTCTTTGGCACTAAAGTGACTTTCTTCATCAATAATTGCTAGAATCTGTTAATAATTTATTTATCAATTAACAGTAACGACAAAAGAATCTGGTATACTAGATGGCAGATAGATAGGATTGAATTAAATTAATTATTAGTTCAGCAATGAATTAATTAGATGCAGTGTCACGGTTTCCGTATTAAATAATAATTCTTTGTCAACAATTTTGCGAATTATCGCATTTTTATATCTGGAAATTGGTTTAAAAAGCAAATCAACTTAGATACTCGATACTGCTTCAGTTAAAGCAATTAAACTATTGTAATTATTCCAGATAGATTCTTAATTGGCACAGTTGAGCTATTTTTAATATAACACTGTGTAAATGAGTAAAAATTAAGTAACCAAAATTTCAGTAAAGTAGAGGCTATGGTTGGAAAAAATGTTTACATTGGAGACTGTTAGTAACTGTTTTTCGCCAGGATAAAACCTGATACAGGCACAATTTTCGGTTATGCAGTATATAGGTTACGGCTGATGTCCGAAATTGGCCGATAAAGATATAATCGGCACCGCCTTATTTGAAACATGCAAATTGTGAAGTGACTCCCAGACTTACTATACGAGTAATCAATAACCTATCGTCATTGATTCAAATTAGGAACTTTACGTAAACTTAATTAATCATCTATAAGAATTAAATTTAAAATCAGTTACCTAACGTATTCTACGGTCGTATACTTTATGCAGTGAAGAGAGCAAATAGCCTCTTTGAAATTATTTTAAATTTTCAGTTTGCATCAGTGTCCCAAGTTTCAAGTCTCTTGAATGTCATCGCCTAATTATCGCCAACAAGAATTAAAAGCTACTTTTAATTTCAAGGAACCGTTTCGATTTTATACATTTTCTGAGATACTTTGCAAATCAAAACGATACACAATAGCCTTTTATCGTTCACAAAAGCTACTGTTTAGGAAAGAAATAACTACAAATTTGCCAACCCGCAACTACTTATTTCAATTCATTCCTGTAACGAATCTGACACAAAAAAACTACTTAAAATAGTATTAGCTTTAGATTTCTTACTGAAGATATCCGAATGTAGTGGTAATAGCTGAAGCATCTAGGATTTTCAAATCATTATCAATCTTTCAAAGCACAATTTAAATCAATTATACAATTTAACTATCGCTAACTAGCACAAACTAGCACTAACTACTACCATCAACAAATTATGGACGTAATTTTAGGTGAATAAGGAAAATTCTATTTTTAAGCTAACTTAGTTATTTGATTCTGAAAATAATCAATTGAAAGGATATCTCACAGACGTAAAATTTCATAATTCAGGGTTATATCTTGATATGAATAATTGATAACGATAATTAAATAGTATGATCTAATGTATTCTAATCTTCAGGTTCATCTCGCGTACTGTATGCGTACAGTTGTCATTTTTACCCTTCATTTCCATTATTGCGAGGCTTTCGCATTTAAAGAGTCATCTAATAATAGTTTTTAAATGATACATAGGTTATAATCTTCAATTGCATAATTTTCTATAGAACGGTTAATCGCATGGTGATTAAATTTTCCAGTTTTGAAAATTACTGCCTATTTTAGTATTTTCTACCGTATTTTATGATCGAAGTTGCAACCGAGAAAATATTTAAAAACTTCTAACTAAATTATAATATATCTACAGTAGTTATTAATTAAATAATAATGTGCTAGCATATTTGAAATACATCATAATACATAACGACAAGCGCTTAGAAGTAGAAAGAGCCATAAAATCTTTAATGTATCTATTTTACAATAGTAAGTTTATATTAGCTAATGATCTATAAGATTTACGATCTTTATTCGAATTTAACAACTCTGTAGGGGGCCGTAGCTAAATTTTTAAATGTAATCCAGACTTGATTTAAATTAAAAAAATTATATTAATTATACCCATACTTAAGTTGATGTAGGACCTGTAGTAATGAAAATAATGCAATACCTGAGGATAAAAGCTAGCTACGAATAATTCTGGATTTATTTATCGCTTCAAATATAGTTCTTTTGGCTTTAAGTGTGACTTAAACTTTTCATCATTTGTTTCATAAGTTGGACGTTCCAAGTAATTACCGGTTTAATGTAAAGGATCGGTAGTACTACTTCGGATGTAATACGATAACGGCAACAGCTGTATCTATTATTATGTTGTACATAAACAATTATTATCTTCTACTTCATATAATTATTAGTACTTTCTAGTAAAAATGATTTCCATCATTTTCTGGTATCATTAATGCTATAAAGTTCGGAATCTAATCCATCCTATAGTAAATTTCATGTTCCATGAACTATGCTAATTTCGGAAAACCAGTAATTACGTAGCAGATGATTAATTATTGATTGTTGTAACTAAATTTTAAGTTCAAATTAAGCATTAATTCATCCGTATCCATATGCTTTATATATAATCATAAAATATATACTGGTTTACCGTAAAAGTATCAGCCGTTTAGACTGTTAGTATAGAATTAGACTATGCGTAAGCACTGAAAACACGTACTCTAACTAGCATCACTATTTCCTGAACAGGACTAAAAGCGAATGAGCTGCATACTGCCCATACGTCGACAATGCTAAGATAGATTGTGATATTCCTCTTTTTACAAGTAGAGTTGATTCGAAGGTCTCATATCGATTTGCGGGATATTAAAGGTATATTAAGCAAAATTGTAGTACTTATATACTGATATAATTTAAACAGTCTATTAATATAATTTAATTAATGCAATTAGTCTAGAAATATTGGATTGAAGCACTGTTAATAAACGAAAAATCCGCATGGTAACTCTTCTCGACGATAATATCGAAGATATACGGCAGACAATATATGAAATTGCGGATAAAATTACATTTAATATGTTGTTAGCATCGCAGAAGCTTGTTATTTTTTATTTCGATGAATGCAGCACAGTAAGTTCTTAAGGCAATGACCAATCAGCTATAATATACGGTATTATCAATTCTGAAGATAAATGACATATATTCCTATTATTTAAAGAAGGAAAGTTGTCTCCTAGAAGGCTACATCTATCTTTACTATAAGGCAAGCCATATGAGAAATAATTTATTTTGCTTTCTCAAATTGCTCTAAAGTAGTTCTCCAAAGTTTGTTATTCATACTTGGAGATCAGAGTGCATTATTAAAATGATTTATAGAAACGTGATATTTATAAATAAATAAATAATGCAGATAGCGTCTACTTAATGGGTTTATGTCAGGCAATTGTATTTTAACTATTCATTTTTGAACGCTTATTCGTTAATTTCTATTTTTCATCACCGTAATAGATTTGAAAAATAATCAATTGTGGTGAAAAAGCATTATCGCTAAGCTCCATGACTTTAGAAAATTTCTTTAAGTAATTAATACCACTTATACGATACTATCATTACATGCGATATTTGAGGATATAAACATCATATTGCCTATTTATAATAAACTGATGCGGTATCAATTTAGATTAAAATACGATATAACCTTAAAACCTGCGAGGCACTGGATAGTTACTGGGATTTGCTTTGTGAACTTATAGATATCGATTTTTTATATAAAAGTCACTAAAATTGATCTATAGCACCTATTAATAGCAACACCTTGCTACAGAAATATGTGGATAATGCTGATATAGAGTCAAGGATTACTAATCCATGGTAGAGGCACAGGTTAGGTGCTAAAGGACCTAGCGGTTGGGATAGGATTTTCTCAGAAAGCTGTATATTTACCGACATTTCTATCATTCTTGTCCAAGCTACGAGTTATTCCAGGAGTATGTATGATGTGCTTAGATTTCTATCCTTCCTGACTGATCTTTATAACTACTTTTGCAACAATATAAGATTATCTTACACAGCTCTACATTACATTCCCATTCAGTAATTCTACTAGGTGCTCCTTAACTTGCTAATCTAAAGAGAGCTTAGAACCTTAGTCCCTAGCAGGCGCAGCTAAGAGACTTTAGACAAATTTTTTCAATTTAAAAGAGCAACATACATTGTTTATTAAAATTAAAATAGTAGCAAGGCCTAATGTATAACTAAAATTACAATAATTTTACTTAATAACTTGAACTTATTATAAAGCATGATTATATCACATTTTTCCAATGCCAAATAAGTAATAATGTCGTACAATTTACGTATGATAAATCTAACTGTAGTGTAGTCGATGACTGCAGAAGCCATACTGTAGTAACTTAGCAGTTGGGCAAAGGGAAGTGACAAGACGATGAGCTAGGTATCTCAAAAATTGAAACTAATCTCGTAAACTATAAATATGTTTGGATCCTGCCGCATCATAATACCGGCGAGCTAAAACTATTTGTTGGATTATAATTTGTGAGAGATATTTTTGCAATTAATAGTAACACATCCATGTAGATTGTAAATTAGGATCACTGATTATTGTGGGTATCTCAGATATATTACAGTATTGATTTTTATTTATATAGCCATTTTTACGTTATTACGTAAATAAGTGATTACTGAAAACCATTTATAGCGTGAATTATCGTAAAACGGTCTTTGGTGCCGACAGTTGCTTATTATAGCTAAAAGACTATATAGTACACAGTTTACCAGATCATAGATATGATTCGTGATTCAGACGGCCAAGAGCAATAATGCTTTCTCGTATTCTTATAGCTCGATTTTTTTTACAGCTTGTGATTATTTGGTGTATCAAAAGTTATATCCTAATATTTCGATCGTGTTTTAAAAGCTTAAAGTACCTGTACTTTGCAAGAGACTGTAATTAAGAACGTGAAACTTGAACAAGCTCAGCCTCAAATATAGTAGGAGCGATACTAATGTAGAAATTATAAGAATTGAGCGTACTTCCTTATAGATATTATGCTCTTATTTGACTTTACGGTAACTGTTCATTTGTTATTACTGAAGAAAATATTGATTTTTACTATGGATTACAGTGTCTCGCAAATTTGCAGTAGTCATATGCTTATAACCAATGAATAATGCTAGGATGATCAAGATCCGTTCAAGTTTTGCTATATCCTTTAAATGCATTTACGAAATAAACGAATTAAGCGACGACGACTAATCATTACCAGCAATTCCGAAAGGTATATTTTGATGTTTCTGTAGTAATCGCTGTCATTACATAATGCACATTGCACCACAAAACAATAATTAACTAAGATAATGAATTAACATTAATCTTTAATTATATAGTAAACTAAGTTGATTATAAAAAAATTGGATGTTTTGCTATGTAATATCATCAGTTGACTCCACTGCAAGCTAATTGTCAACACCTATAGTCAAATTAGACGATTTAATCTCGTCAAGATTGATACTATCACAAGCCTTGCCTTATGAGATCATAATTAATATCAATTTATCATTGAACAGCATTATGAATAAATTATAGCTTAATAAGGAAATTAATTTGTTTGGTATCACTTATTTGAACAGAGGAATAATCGACGCGATAACTCTAACAGTGAAAAAATAAAAACTCTAACAACTACATATCAGCACGTAATACAGTAATTTCTTTCTCAAAGAGTGAAAAACTTTGAAATAAACTATTAGCGTTATTATGATTAAGACGCTTTACTCACAAATGATATGAATTAGGGCTATTTTACGCTACTATCTGATCTTATTAGACTATAATCGCGTTTGGCATATACAGTAGGTAGATAGAATCACTGTCAATCTTTTTTTATTACGTGGAATTTATTACAAGACTTATATTAGGATTATTGAATATTGCAGTCTATAAATTCACAGGCAAGTTAATGTGTTGAACAAAACTTGGGGATTATTTGCTATAACAGACCGAAATTTATCATAACTATTCAGGAACAGGCTCATTGAAAGAATACATAACATACTTCAAGACATGAATTAATTGTAGATATTGATTGATAATATAATCAATTTAAAGAAAGAACATTTTTAATGGTGCAAAAAATTGACTAAAACTCACTCATACCATATAAATTAGCTTGAGTTAATTATTATATTATTAGAATGTTGCTGCTGCAAGTGTGACTGAGAAAGTTTATAAAATAAATTTGTGGTTTAGCCTGTTATGGTATTTCTTTCAAATAACATAAACTAGGGGATATTGGTTATAACAAAACAGAACATTTCATGTATATTAATCAATATACGGTTAGACTTTATAAATAATAGACATCCTAGCTTTTAGCTCATTATGTAGGATAGGAAGACAGAAAGAAAGTGTGTATATTTATTACAATTTGATTCAGGAATAAATTGGATATAGAAGCGATCTATAAGCAAACTTTAGTTGATTACTTTGCTACATTACGAAGTTCTAGAAAACCCTGATTACCTCCAGCCTTTGTTGGCTTAACTCGCGTAAAGTTATCTTTGCAACAAATGACTGATATATAGCCCTTCTTAAGCCTAGGATTGACAACAATATACGTAACAGGATTGAGAGCACTGTTTAAATTAAGTAAGTAACCAACAATAAAATACCAAACTGGCTCAATATCAACGCCATTCGCTGCCAACATCGTAACAATAATTGTATAAGGTAAAAAACAGACGACATGCTCAGCCAAGATAATAAACATACGCCGCGCGACAATCTCTTCCCTCCGCGATAACTTTTCCGCAACGTCAAGTTTCTGTCCATCACTTAGATCACGCTTAATGTGGTGATGATTTCTTTTCATCTTTGCAAAAATATTTCCGTAGCAAAACGACACCACGGATAATGGTAATAGAAAATCTGCTACTAGAATGTATATCGTATAGGAATAATATTTCTTATCTAAACTACGTACACAAGTACATTCCGTAGGTTCATAGATATAGCGGCTCCATCCAATAATAGGCATTAAACAGCATGCAGAGCTGTAGATCCAAACGCAAGCGATAGTCAAGATGGAATGCTTACGCTTAATTTTTCTGCCCAAATTGCAGACAATTGCAAGATAGCGAAATACAGCTATGACTGTTAACGTGTATACAGTCGCAACGTAACAAACACAATTAATAAAGCCCACAAATGAGCATAGAATTGCACTTTTCGGCCAATTATACGAAGTTAGACCATAAATAAATAATGTATCTTTAATTCCTCCAGTTAATAAATCAGTTATAGCTAGATTGATGATAAATAGATTGGAGGTTGTGCGTAATGATGCATGTTTATAGAAAGTTAAAAAGACTAGCATATTTCCCAAAATTGTGATTAACGATAGCACACTATAAAGGCCGATGCGAATATAGCGATCTCGAGCTGTTAAAGAGACATTTGCAATCCATACGTTTTGAAGAGGGTGATAATCTGCGATAAGATCCGTACTTAAATTTTGCCACTGTATAATAGAAGAAGAAGAATATAGTTGGTCAGACAATTAGAGACATGAAAGACAAATGGAATCAAAATTGAAATAGATATTATCGAGACATATTTATGTAGAGTATTGTAAATATAACATTTTATGATAACACCCTTATTCAAAGGGAATATTGCGTCATCATGGATCAAATTCTCCAAAGATTTTTTATCCATTTAGACACATGATATTGTTTTGAGCTGCAATATCGTTTGCAAACAACGAAATAAGAACATATATAGCTGCATTTTTTTCCATCCGATTTAAAATTTTATTTACTACCCAAAATATTCTTTGAGCTTGTCAAATACGGGTAATCATATAATGATCATAAAAGTCAACTACTTAAGTCACTTAGCGATAGTCTTGTAAATGATCCTTCTGTAAAATTTATAATGTTTCGCTTTCTATATTAACCTTTAGCTTATTGTCACAAAAAAGAGTATATGCTATCTATCGATTGGACATGCTTAAAGATTATTTTGGTTTGGAGATAAAATTTTAAATCAGAGAGAAAATGAACCGTTCTGTAGTTCTTATTTAGTTGTTTGTAAACGATATCATAACTCGTAATACTATCATATGTCTAAATGGATAAAAAGCCTTTCGTATGATGTATTACACAATAGTAATGTTTGCTAGAGTAAATTATAAGAAAGAAAAGGAATAAAATTGCTAAATGTCAGCATCAAGCTTATCTGTTGGCGTATTACAACACCCTAGATTATAATAAGCTTCATTTGCTACGGCTTAATAAAATTCATTTCATAAGCAAGTATAAATAAAAGGTCGTGAAGAGTTTTTTCTATATGCTAGTGAAATAATAAAGAATCTATTTGTCAAGAATATATCGGAAGTCAAGAATCAAGTCAGTCTGTGAAGAGATACCAAAACGTAATTGTTAGTACTTTTAGTTTTACTATCAGATAATAATTAGAGTTTAGCCTAGTTTAACTTGGATGAGACTAGAGATAGTAAAATGATGACTAAGTGATTTTTGCGCTACGTCATCAGCAATCAATTTTGGTTCAAATTGTGTTAAAAGGTAATTTGATATTCCACTTATTCCTTACAGCAGCAATGCCAATAGTTCATAATTTTAAAACACAAACCATCCATAAAAATGAAAAAAATAATACTTTTATCTAACTACAGTCTCAATATCACAAATGTAGGATATGAGTCCAAATGCAGTACACTGATCACAATTATACGATAAAACCAATTACTGAGGGAAAATTTAGTTATACCGCAGTATCGAAGTGAAATTATCATAAATAGTTCGTTTCTAAGGCAACATTTTTGTTTTGGAGTCACTACCTTATTATTAGATAGATTGAATATGTAATAACGTACACTCGATGGCTATCTCTTTCATTATATTTTCTGCTTTCGAGTGTCATTTATCGTTAAACCAAGTTGTTTATGCATCAATGAAATAAAGCTGCCAATTTTACTTATACAAAGATGCTTATCATAGTGACTGCGATGATTGCAGACAAGAAAAAACGACTTCAAAGACAGCGACTAATTACTCGTTTCGATATTGCGACATTATTTAACTGTCAGATGTTTGTGTCAACGATTTTTTTACTGTTGCTGTTTAGTTAAAATACCGTAAGTCAACAATTTTCATACGATTTAGATCGATCATTATTAGCCGATAAGATAATTGAACTTTGACTGACAGTTACTTCTTTATTATAAAAAATTTTTTAAATTTCATTGAATCCTAAGTAGGTTTTAAACTATGACTGATTGAATAAGTCTGCATTAATGAAATGTCTATTTGTTCTTTCTTAGACAAAATGTAGTACAATTCCATTTGTTGATTTGGACATCAGAGACTATTATTTACGATAGTAATCCATAATACCTCGAGTTTTTTGTACTTGACATGTCTTGGACTATAAAAGTTCTGTTTATTGACTTAGATATGGAAGACTATTATATAAGGTAGAGCTCTAAGGCAGATAAAGTTTTATTGATGTATCTTGGACTAAACATATTTCTGTCTGTTGATTTGAAAGAGAAAGAATGACAGTAAAATACAGGTCTAAAGTAGATAAAAGATGTTTGTAATGCATCATGAACTACAAAAGCTTTCTATTAACTGTCTTGATCTAAACGAGGAGACTATTTTAGAAGACAAAAGCTCATAATCGATAAAAAAAGCCTGCTAGATGTTTCTGAAACGAGAGATGCTTCTATTTATTGTAATGAGATTGAAGGCTACGAAGTAGAAAATGTATTGCGATAGTAATAAATATTTTGATTACCAACTGCAGTCTATTACTAAGGGGTGAATAATATAATAAATAAAATGCTATTATATCAATAGTTTGTAAAAAGTAAATATTTCTCGATACTTAAGTTGATTTAGTAATATCTTTAAATCATTCAAATTAAGCATTGATTATACTTATTTAAGTAAGTTAATAACTAATTTTTATATCCAGTATTGTGCATGTGCGATAGTGTTTTTGTAGATATATATCATTTGATAGACTGCAGTATGCTCAATATTGGCTTAAAGGATAAAACAACATTTTATGGATGCTTGTGGAAGCTGCGGTTAGATATCATGTCCTGTATATAGATCTTGCACGTATTAATAAGTTAAGCCATTCTATTAAAAATAATAAAAATGACATCTTCTCATAAATGGTCGCAAGTAATAACTATTTCTGTTCCTATAATGACTATTGAACTAACTATAAACGAATACAATTAAATGACTCAATAGTTTATATCCTAGTACAGAATATAAAATAGAAAATAGAAAAGATTTTTTGGCTCTTTACAATATATTGACTTATTGATATGTATAGAGAATATAATAATTTTCCTCATTTACAATCTATAAATAACTTCTCCATGAGATAGGTATTGCAATGAACTTAATCAATAAGACATTGATTATTTCTTTTCAAACTGATACCTTTTCCTCGTTCTTTTGTCTTAGACCAATCTCAGATATTTTGATCTATTTTATTTACTGCATGTCACAAAACAGCTTTGCAACAAGATAACGCAATATACGATCAATAAGTCAATTCCTTGAACCACGTATCAAGGAACGATATCTGCACTATCACAAACACTTTTGCTCTACTAGCAGACTACACAAAGACTTAAACGCCTCGTATTTTACGTTAAACACTAAGTTGGACAATTCTTCTTTATTTCACGATATACTGCATTTATATACTATTCCTCAATAGTTCATGAGTCATAGTTAATACAATTAACATTAGAATCATTTACTGAATTAGATATTAATTTTAGCTACTGCTCCCTTAATGCAGACAACAGTATTTACGAACATAGACATATAATGACTAATACAGAATAGTCAGATTACGATATGTCCTATCACGGAACATTTCCATGATAATTTACAGTCTACTATAAGTAAATTACAATCACAATGATTCGAACTGTAAGCAGATGATTTGCATTCCCTATTAGAACTATTAATTTCAGTATGTGTATAAGTGTCACTGTCATAAAAAGTCAGTGCTATATTAAAATACAGTATATCCAAATTAGAAGTTAACTAAATAAGGATAGTCTAACAGAATTATCCTAACATAGTTATTTCTACTGTAATACAGTATTTAACACTGTAACACTGCAATAATCATGTGCTCTAAGCTATCGACCCTCCCCTCCTGCCTCCTCGTGAAGCTTATTTCATAAAATGATTTGCTGTCTGACGAAGAAAAAGATGATTCCTTCAAATCATTCAGTACTATATAGTCAGAAGTCAATAGATAAATAGATTAAAATTTTTTTGATGTTTAAGTAGATGAGTATGATTATTATATTCAAATAGCTTCATGATGATAATATTCATAATGTGGCATATTAGACAAGGCTAATTTAAAATTACTTGAGGAAAATTTTAAATGTATTCCGAAATCAGTATAGAACTGATGAAAGTAAGCTTGATGATTGTATAGGCCAATAGAGTGTATGTTTATCGAAAGGTCAATTTCCAGTTTATCTATTAAAGTATTATAAAAGGCCGCAAACTGGCTGTTTATTCATCAAAAGTAGATAATGTAAGTGGATTAAAATTATCAGGTCAAATTTACAACATAGAAGTGATAATTTTTCTAGCCCTTTGATGAATTAATTTACATTACATCATGTCATCGTCAAAATAATTGCCTATTCGTCCTTTCTACAAGTTTTTAATTCATTTCTAAATTGAATAATTTTGACATATTTTGCGTTTAAGTAATTTGAATTGCTGTCAGAAAGATTTGAAAACTCTGCTTTGAGTTAAAAGAAGGAAAATAGAGTACATTTAATGAACATCGGTTCTCAATCACATGTTAACTTTGCCCTACAATTGCTAAAATGCTATCCTAACTGTTTAAATAATACCTTTGAATGCTTAAGATTAGATATTTTATAATATCATTAGAAGAGAATTGAACTAAGAAAGCTTCATCAAATAATTCCCTTCTTTAAGGTTCGGTAGGTAAATTAAAGCCACGATTCAAATTCATAACTAATGCATTTTGTGCTTTCTGGCTATTACCATTATTTCATGAAACATAAACATAGATTTAAGATGTAGTCCTAAGCATTAACATCGCATTATAGGTGCTATATAAAAGAAAGAATTAATTTTGAATTCACAGCTAATTCCTCTATTACGTGAAAGCTATTAAAATTATAGAAATAAAAGTAATTAACAAGATTTAATATCAATTCATTCTTGAGCAAGTATACTGCAGAGATTGCTGCTTATTCCCGAGAGTAACTAATTCCCGGAGTTCACCGTAACAGCCACATTATATGTAGGGTATAAATAAGGTAAA